ACATTTTAGGGATACAGTACAGTTACATTCATTGTTGGGATCATGTACCTTTACATGGCACCACCGTTTTCACAGAAAGTTTCCAGTTTGGAATTATGTGCCTGCGAGGGTTGAATTATGGTTGAAAAGAACTGGAAAGAAAAAGAGAAGTGAGTCAGAATGAAATAAAAGGTGCACTTTCTTAGAGTGATGGAGGGATTTGCTGGATCCCATCCTCCAGCCTTAAAGAATATGCAAACAATCGAATAGAAAGTGGTGTTCAACGTGCATTTCTGGCCTTAGATAAAACCTTTGATTTCAGTGCACTGGCACTGTTATAACAGATCCTGACACAGAACACAACTCGAGCTGTCTTGGAAAGAGAATTTAACAACTTTTTGTCATGAGGAATGACAGAAAGTTTGATGAAGATGATGACAAAAGCTTAGGAGAGCATCATCAGGGAGAACGAAGTTTCCATGAAAGCCCTTCCATGGCCTGGTGGCTGGGTCAGCAGAGACACTCCCTGGAAACTTCTGAGTCACTTCCATCTCTTCCTCCTCTTTGCAGCCAAAGAATATGCAGAGGGATTGGTAATGCCTCAGGAACACAAAGGTTGGATTCTGCTGCAGGCAGGACTTACTCCTGCAAAAGCCTCCTGTTGTTTACACACACTATTTCTACAGGTGTTTGTGCAGCATTTTTCATCCAACAGAGATGATATTTTCTAACTCTGTGGAATCTCGGATCTGATAATACTTTTTATATGGACCCTAGTATATTTTATTACAGGTTATAATTAGCGAAACATTCATGAATACCATAGAGAAAATATTTTAGAATTTAATATTTCTTATATTGATGTAAACTTTTGACTCATCTATATGCTTACTTTTTCTTCTTTATATAGGCTATAAATATCTTCTTGAGACAATTCATATTTTTTACGTAATTTCAGTATTTCAAATTAATGTACTGCAATGTTTATATATATAATTCCTATGGACAAATACTTTTTCTTTTAAGATGTTTATTCTTTGCATTCCCAAATGGAAGAAAAAATGTAGTATTTAGCACTCGAATTTTTTTATTTATTTCACTTAAACTTATAGCCTCGAGGTGCATCCATTTTTCTATTATTACACATATTTTTCTTTATCACCGAATAGTGCTTCACTGTGTATATATACATTTTCTTAGTAGGCTGATCTTTGGATGGGCAAATAGCAAGCTTTCAAGATTTAGCTATTCTGGGCTGGGAATTTAGCTCAGTGGTTCTGCCACCTGCCTCTCAAGCACAAGGACCTGAATTTGATCCCCGGTACCAAAAAAATAATAATAAAAAATAAAAATAAAAAGATTTAGCTATTCTGATTTATGCTACTTTAAACAAAAGTACGTATGCATCATCATCATATGATGTCATTAATTCATGTGGAAAGATATTCAAAAGGAGAAGAACTGAGTCATATGAAATATCCGGTGTTTAGGTTTTTTTTTTTCTTTTTTGAATCTTCACACTGATTTCCACAGTGGTTATATTAGTTTAAATTTCCATCAAAAATGTTGGAGAGTTTCTTTTTCTGACTAGCTCACCAGCATTTGTGTCTTTTGAGCTGATGATCATATTCAAGCTTTCTGTAGTAAAAAACAAAATCTCAGTGTTTTGGTTTGCATTTCTCTAATGGCCAAAGGTGCTTAACATTGCTCATGTACTCATTGTCCCTGTGTGCTTTTCCTTCTGAGAAGGGTCTGTTCATCTCAATTTCCTATTACTGGATTGGGTATTTTATTTTGAGAGTACTAGAGTGTTCGTGTTTTTGTATATTCCAGTTATAAGTCTTCCATCCAGGAAACAGCTGGCAATTGTTTTTCCTGTTTGGTAAGTTGCCTCTTTACTCTGCTGGGTGTTTACTTTGCTGTGCAAATGTACTTTAATTTAATATAATTTAATTTGTTGTGATTGTTGTAAGGTTTTTGGCAAACAGAATTCTACTTAGAAAGTCCTCTCATATGGCTATGGCTTCAAGTTTTACAAACTTTATGTTCCAAGAGATTCCATGTTTCTGTTTTAGTATCCAAATCTGACGTTTTGATCTCACGTTAGCATAGTGTGGGAAATACAGGTCTATATTTCGTCTTCTGCACATAGGTAACCACTTTCTCTAGGACCATTTGAGAAAGAGGCTGTTTTTTTCTACAGTTTATGATTTTGATTCTTTTGTCAAAAATTAAATGACTGAATATACCTGGAATGTTTTTCTGCATCCTCTATTCTGTTTTATTGACCCTAACCTTTGTTTTTGTGTTAATACCATGCTGCTCTTTATTATGCTAGGTCATGTAATTCACAATCTGTGTTTGTGATGCCTCCTGCTTTGCTATTATTGCCCAGGATTGCTTTGAAATTCTAAGTCGTATCTGATTTCATGTAATTTTTGCATGTTCTATGTAAAGTATATATTTTTAAAAAAATTTTATTACATAAAATCAATACTTCAGTTTTGGTAGTATGGCCATTTTGGCAATATTGCTTCTGCCTATACAGGAAGAAGGGATGTCCCCCATTTTCTAATTTCCTTTTCAATTTTATTTTTAAGGTTGTATTTTCTTCATTATAGTGGTTTTCTACTTTGGTTAGGATAATTTCTAAGTGCACAAATTCCTTGGTTCATGAATATTTCTATTTGAAAACAATTCAACTGACCAAAAAAAAAAATCACTTTTGACATAATTATTTTCCACTTGTAAACTCTGCATCAGATAACAAAGGTGACCATTGTCATTTTCACCAAAGAAATACATGTAGACATCTTCTCCAGAATGATAGAACAAATTAGCCTAAAACAAATTAAGTTAACAAACCAAAGTACCTCTATGTTTAATTTTTAAAGCTATTTTGAAAGGTATTATTTTCATAACTTATTTCTTCATGTGTTCTTTGTCAGTACACAACAAGTCTAATATTTTTGTTTGTTGATTTTATACCCTGCTATTTTGTGGAAGTTGTTTATTATAACTAGAGGTCTTTTGGTGGCATTGGGGTCTTTTATCTAAAGTGTCATGTCATTAATGAATAAAGATAGTATGAGTTCTTTCTTTCCTATACATATTTCTATTTTTTCTTGTCCTTGACAGATTGGTCTAGCAGAAGTTTGAAGTACTATATTGAACAGGAATGGTAATAGACAAGCTCTTGTTTAGTTCCTGATTTTAGGTAAAAACCTTTCAGTTCTTCTCAAGTAGTGTAATGTTGACAGAGGTCTGCAATAAATGATTTTTAGAATTTTGAGATAATGTCTGTCCATACCTATTTTCATGTGTTTTTTTAAATCATGAACAGATATTTGATTGCATCAAGAATGTCTCTGGGTCTATTGAGATTATCATGTAATTTTTGTCCTCACTTCTTTTTAGTGGTGTGTAGCACACATTGATTTATACATGATGAATCACCCATTCATTCTGAAGATAAAACAAACTTGTTCCTCTTGAATGATATTTTTAATTACTTGTATAAATCAGAAATTCTATTTGATCCAGATACACCTCTCCCAGTTAAATTCATGAAAAAATATAAACATAGTGAAGTATAGCATTATATATAATCATTTGTTGAGCTGAATAAACACACAAAATGCCTAGTAACAGAAGGTATAAAAATGTGATATACAACATAGTGTTATTCAGCCATAAAGAAAAATGAAATCATGATATTTATAGGAGCTTAGAATTAAATTTCATCCTATTTCACATTATCTCTTACACATTTTGATCCTTATTTATACTTCCAACTTTTCACACCACAAAAACTATTCAGTATTTACAAGTGTGTCCTGTTTTTTTTTATTTGAGTTTCACCTCAATGTACATGCAAGGAAAGTCGCAAGGGGAAAGGGAAGTGTGAGGGGTAGGGGAGAAGAAAGAAGGGAATGGAATTAACATGAGAAAATGAAAAAATGGAAAAAGTCTTTGTTAATACAGAAGGGTAAAAGGGTTGAAGGGTGGGCATGTGAATGGGGCAAATAAAGTATCAAGATGTATTATGTAAAGGCACAAATCTCTAGGGATGAATATCATTATATTTTATACCTAAAAGGTACCAATAAAATTAATTTTACTAAAAAAATAATCATACTGCTAAGTGAAATACACTAGACTCAGAAAGTTAAAAAGAACAGTTAATCTTAAAAAAACAGTCAAAAGTCAATAATGTGGAAAAACAAGTAGAGTAGAAGTAGTTGTGTGAAAATAATAAAGGGGATCAGAGGGAGGGCAAGATCAAAGGGAAAGGGGTAGAACAGAAAAAATACTTTATGCTTTTGTGCCAATTTACAATAATGAATCTCATTATTCTGTATTAAAATATGCAACACTGAAAAGGACTAAACAATGTCAAGCTGTCATGTGTTGAAGGAAAATACAGTTGAAAATAACACTGAAAGATAGCTATGTCACCGGTGGCTGCAAAAAATTATTTCATTCTGACACATTTGAACCTTATTGCTTTAGGAGTCACCCCAAGAATATTTTCTTTTTTACAAAATTTCATGTTAACATTTGTGCAAATCTGAATCTCTGGTAAAAACACCCAGGTTTCAATATGTTTAATGTCCACAGATGATTTCACTAAAAGGCAAAAACAAAAGAGCAGGGAAATAGCCCCTTGTCAAAACCTGGCTAAAGAGATGTTAAAAAGTAATTTTTAAAGGAAATATATGTAAATTGTAAACATGAAAGCCAATGTGAAATATGAAGATAATTTAGCATTTGATGTGGAAGCCAAGGTCTTTTCTTACAAACTACTTAAGCTGCTAGTTCATGTTGATTTTATTACTATGATCATCATAAAATGATTCTAGAAGATTCACATAAGTCAGTTAAAATAATCAGAATTGATTATTTGGATACGAAACAAGAGTGAAATAAAAGCCATGGAACTACAAGAATAATGTGACTGAGGCAGATGAATACACAGGTCGGGATGCAGGAATTTTACAGAACAGGCCGTGTAAACACTGTTAGAAACCATGAGACTGCAATGATATGCACTGCAGTCTCCATAGTGCGCTCTTCAGCTCCCTGTTCCTCAGGCTGTAGATAAAGGGATTGAGCATGGGGGTGACCACAGTGTATAACACGGAGGCCACTGCACTGTTTCTGGGGGACTTCGATAGAGCTGAGTTAAGGTACACTCCAATGGCCGTCCCATAAAACAAGCACACCACTGACAGGTGAGATCCACAGGTGGAGAAGGCTTTATATTTGCCCCCTGAGGATGAGACTCTCAGAATGGAGGAAACAATTTTATAGTATGAAAAAAAGATCCCCAGGAGAGGAACAAAAGCAGAGATACTACCAAAAAAATACATGACTATATATTTGGTAATGGTATCAGAACATGTTAGATTAAGAATTTGAGATGGTTCACAGAAGAAATTGGCAATTTCTACATCCCTGAAGTAGACAAAGTACAGAGCAATAAAATTGTGCAACTGGGAATACAAAAGGCTAAAGAAGAAAGACAACAAAACCAAGGAGACACAGAGGCGGGGGTTCACGATGGCATGGTATTGCAGGGGGTGACAGATGGCCACAAACCGGTCATAGGCCATCACCGTCAGGAGCATGTCATCCATGCACCCGGAAATGACAAAAAGAGACATCTGTGTGAGGCAGCCCTCATAGGAGATGGCTCTTCTCTGAGTTTGGATGTTCACAATCAATTTTGGTACGGTGGTAGAGATGAAACAGACATCAGCCAAGGACAGGTTGGAGAGGAAGAAGTACATGGGGGTGTGGAGGTGGGAGTCAGAGATGATGATCATAATGATGAGCAGGTTCCCAAGCACTGTGACCAGGTACATGGTCAGGAACAGAGCAAAGAAGATGGGCTGCAGGTCTGGATCCTCTGAGAGTCCCATGAGATGAAATTCTGTGACACGGGTTACATTTTTTGCTTGTGCACTGCCTGGGCAGCTTAAAAAAGAAGAAGAAAAAAGTTGAATAAGGAATGCAACAGCCACCAATTTTCATGAATTTGTGCAATGTGCTTTGATTTTAAATGTTTAATACTGTGGAAGAGTTAGGCTTCATGTGAACACTAAGTCAAAGTTAGGTCTTAGTAATCAGTGCACACTGTTATATCTATTTATCACGCAGTTTTTCAGATTTGTTGCATTTCATGAGTAATTTTGTTTGTTAATGATGTCCTTATTTAAATTTTGTTTGTACTTTCAAATTTATTCATCAGATATTTTCTAACCTTACCTTTAGTAGACTTCAAATTTTACTAAATGATATTCACATAACTAATGTCATTATTGATCACATGTGTGGAATTCATGTGAATTACACCTTTAAGTAATTGAGTAATGCTTAGAAACCAATTCAGATGCTTAGAAACCTATTTGAAATAGTTTTATTTTTTGCCTGTTTATTTGTATCAATCAAACCTATACAATCTCAGTAAAATAATACAGTAAACCATATGGTAATTTTGTTTTTTTTCCTTCTGTCCTGGACGGAGAGGGGTCTATAAACATACTTTCATGAGTTTCTGTTTTTGTTTTTTTTGTTGTTGTTGTTATTTGAGATAGGGTTTCACTATGTACTTGAGACTGACCTGGAACTCACTATAAAGTCCAGGCTGGTCTTAATTTCTGATTTTAAAACTTATGTATGGTTGACTTTACCACAGGTAAGAAAGCAAAACCCAAGTATGAATCCTAATCTTCTTAAGAAATTTAAGAGACATTCACATCACCATTTCTTTCCATATGAGTTGTGAGCCAGGGATTTAGCTCAGTGGTTCCACCGCCTACATCGCAAGCAAAAGGACCGGAGTTAGATCCCCGGTACCAAAAAAATAAATAAAAAATAAAAAGAAAATAAACAAACAAACAAAAAAACATATGAGTTGTAATTCTCTCACCTCAGCTACTTGCAGCCAAGCTGTTTATTATTTCTTCTGGTATACTATGATTTAAAGGGGAAAATGAAGAGAGGGAAGTACAAAAAATAATTTCAATACATCTGGATGGTATCCTTATCTACAAAATGGAGGCAACACCTGCATAAATTGTTATTACAAAAGCTTTTTTAAAAAGAATTTAAATTTCATAAAGAAGTGGATCTCAGTCTTCTTTATGATGGTCCCTGCCCTGAGATGAAAAACAGTTTTTTTTCTATGTATTTGCCTGTGAAGTTCTTGGTGGTTGTTCCCTACATCAGGATTGAGAAGCAACACTTGTGATTACTTTTGGGCACTCAGAATTTGATTCATTATTATTAACTATAAATATGGACTCTACAACTCATTGCTTTTATTTAAAAGTATATATTAATAATGTGTTCCCCCTACCACTCATTTGAAAGAATTTTGACTAATCCACTATAAAATTTGACATTTCATTATCTCATCCTGATGATGTGCTTCTTCACAGGAGATCATAGTCATTGTTCCTGAAAATAACTGAATATATTGCATGTTTTTAAGTGTGAAATCTTACACTTCAGTATTGACTATGCCTGCATAAGAGGCTTCTTTGAGGTAAATTTATGAGTCACCTAAAGTTCATCTAAGTTCTCTGCAACATATCAACATCTCACTTCCTAAAATGTACTCGATCACATTGTCAAGCTATCAGGATTTTCTGTGAAGTACCTATTGACTTCACGCGCTATAACTGATCCACAGCATGACCTGCTGGGGGAAAAGAAAACATTTAATTGCCAGAGTGCATTATTATAGGAACATCATTTAATTAATGAGTGCATTTTACAGCAATCTTTAAAATCCTTTTGCCTCTCCATATGATGAAAATGAGTATACTCATATCATATGTGGAAAAGGGACAGTTATTTAGATTCCAGCATGTTTCATTTTATTATTAATCACCTATATTTGTTATTTCAAAAATCCAGTCCTTATCACATACAACCTATAACTGTTCATTTATACTGTCAAGAGTATTTATGATATATATTTATAAGCCTAGCGTGATTTGTGGCCAAGTAACCTGAACTAGTATAGGGAGTAACATTTTCATCTTTATTCCATAGAGTTGTCAGTGTACTTGTTTGGCAAACAAGAAATTAATATTTAATCCCACACCAATGGTCTGCTACTATAAAATGAAGGTTTGTATTCTCTACCTGTCTGTGCTGATATTACTCAAAGGAAACAGAAAGTATAATACCCATGTGTACAACATTTGCAGTAACTAAGGACATTTTGGAACTTAACAAAATTTCATCAAATCATCTTTGAAATGACCAATTACATCATTGTGAAAATAGTGACATTATTAAAGAAAACAAATGTCAATATCCAAGGAAAATAAGAATGATGTGATTTTATAAAGTAAATCAGTTTAAGGATTAAGATTACTTGTTTACTTATTTTGTGATATATGAATATAGCTGTTGTGATTGTAAAAAAATTGTATAGTACTTTGGAATTGACTATTAGGCCCCTGAAAGAGACTCAGAATGGAGCTATTATATTTTTGCTTTTGTTTCATTGGACATTCTTAAAAGAGGTGAAAATGTAGACAGCAAAGCATTTCTTTTGTTGAAACTACATTATTACAGTAAATTTTTGTGAACCAAAAAAAGGTATATCCACTGTTCACAGAAGTTATTTTTATTTTAAATGTTTCGCTATGTCAAAAAGATATAAGCTCTGAAACTTCAGATACATCACTGAGTCATTTCTCTAATATACAGTATATACTTATAAAAGATTAAAAAATGAATGTCTCATTTAAGAAATAGAAAAAAATAGTAATTTCTAGGATATGTAGGTGAAAGTCAAGAAAAATAACATCATTTTTAGTAATAATGTTTCAATAGCTTTTTATTCATTGTTTATTGGTACATTTTAGGTGTACAATTTGATGGCATCCATCATCAGGGATCTGTATCTTTACATGATATATCTCGGTTCTTATTTTTTCCTAATTCCCCTGTTCTCTCTTGAAACACTCCATCCCCCATTTACCTAGACATTGTTTACATTTTTTCCTGTTTTCATATATATATTCTTACCCTTCTTTGCTTTCCCCTGTCCTTCACATTGTCCCATTCCATCAAAAATCAAGGAATATTTCATTTGCATTGTCCCTACTTTGTAATATGCCATCTATTAAACACAAATGAAGTACACACACACACACACACACACACACACACACACATTTCTGCTTTCCTTAATTCCATTGTCAACTGGAAATCAACTCAGGTGACAATGCTGAGTTTCAGAGATTCTAATGACCTACCTCAAATTCAAAATGTATGAAGTGGAGCAAACAGCATTTAAGATTTGATGTCAGATTCTGGATCTAATCATCTGATCTTCATTATTTCATACTTCTTAGAAAGGTTTAAGCAGATACAGAGATGTCTAAGAACACATATATCTGAGGCATATTGTTGAACCCTGGACTACTCCTGAGTAAAATGAAATCAACACCTTACTGTATGTCTCATTTTGAGAAGTGTGTACATTTGAAGAATGAAGGGTAACATGGTCATTTGCAATGTAGCTTTGGAGAGAGCAAGAAGGAGGTGTGTGAGGAATTACTATGTTCCTGTCTTTCTGTGCTCTATGCCTGTGATATATAATGGTCCTTCTTATACTGGATCAGCTGATGCTGCCCATTGTCCTTCCCCATACACACAAATAATAAAGAAATGTACACAGTGATCAAGGCATCACATTTTGGAGGGACTAACTACTGTGATCATCTTAATACATCTGTGGCTGCCTGAGGAACTCCTTTCTAGCATTCCTGCCTACTGCCTTCAGTCTTCAGATCATCCAATTCAGATACATGTCACTCTTTTTACCAAATAACTGGTAGCAGTTACATAAAATGTATTTCTGTCCCTTTTGCTGAAGGCGGTGAAGACTCAACTTGTGAAATGAAATGAAATAAGCCACATAGAAAACATGATGTTGGGGTTATTGTCTTCCTCGGCCCCACCAGCCTTTCCATAATTTTCTAGCAGTTCTCAGTAACACAATAGAGGGATTTTATGGCCGAGATGTGTGTGACACACATAACAAGTGTGAAAGGAAAGTAAAACTTACTACATATCTGAGGCCCATAGTAAAATAAAACAAACAAAAAAACAAGCTTCATATTTCTCATAACTAAAATTTTGCATGTTAGCATCCTCAGTTTGGGTGAAAAGCTAGTATGTTAGCCTCAGTAATGAGGAAATGATGTTTCTGATAGTCCCTTATCCAGACTCTTCCTTGCACTTACTGGGTAAGGCTGCTTCTCTGCTGGATCATGGTCAAAAGTACAGATTTAATGAAGAGCTCCTGTGTTAGGCCCTCTGAGGACTCAGACTCTGTTTTCAGACTTGATGCAAGCACATGGTCAGACAGGAGCTTCCCAGTGCAGACAACCATGGAAGAGGGGCCCTGGCAAAAAGCCCACTGGACTGCTATAACCAAAATGAGAAGGTGGAGGCACAGGCTCATTACTGACAATTAAATGTTCTTGGAGGTTCAATGCACAGAGCTCGTCATTAGCAAAATTGATCTATTTCATCCTAATCTCTAAGGTCTTACTATTATTGGTAAAAAAGTAAATGGAATAAATGTCTATCAAACATTTGAAACTTCTAATAATAAGCTGAAAGCACTAGAGAATATTTATTGAATTCATTTTTACTTCCATTTGAAAACAATAACTTGTATTTTATTTGTTGTTTATTATAGTTTAATCGCTGTAACAAAAAACCCACAATTTTGCTAATTTTTCTGGAATTATTGAATGATATAAGTGATGATTTCATTATGAAACTATCCACCAAATCCATTACCTAAAACATGTTATCTTTCCAAATTTAAACAGTACATGGATTTTTAAACACCATATTCAGCCCACTTCCCCAAAATAGCAGTGACCAATGTACTGTGAAACATAATAAAGATCTAAACCTTACTAACCATAAA